AGTACATGTATTTCCTTGACTTTTTTTAGCAATTAGGTTCCTACTACCTCAATACTAACTTCGCCATCACTGTAACACGTGCAGGAAAGTAGCCAACCCGCTAGAAACAAGTTCAGACGGCCCCAATGCTGTGAGCAACTAATCACGATTTTGGGACGCCTAGTAGTGGAAGCCCTCGCACTCCTCCATCCTTGTCGGACGAGCCGGTCTTGCAACCTAGTGGTCGTGAACCCTCGAAGAGAGTCCATAGGGAATATTCTGTTAACAGTCCTCGCAGCAAGAAGAGTAGCCAGACTCCATCCGTAGAAGAGTGCCTTGAAGACCTCGGCCAATTTATCAGGGAGGCTAGGTCCCAGAAGGCATGTCATAACAACGATGCTCAGTAGTTGGCCCAAGTCCATGAGATTCTGTTGCAAGATGGTATCAGCGAAACTGATGTAGTATTCGTGCAAGCCCTGAACCTTTGCAGCCACAAGCTCCGTCGTCAGGGTTTTCTAAAAATGAAATCTAAAGAGGGCCGGCTGAACTGGATCAATGTGACGTGGGCCTTTGTGTGCTCCAATAAGTCCCAGTGATCAGCACATTTCTTTGGACTGCGGTTTTTCTACTGTTTGCGGTTATCCACCATGTGCATGTTGAGTTAATTCTGTTTGTTGTTGCGTTATGTTCGTTTTTTTGTATTACCAAAGACCATTGCTGAGAACTAAGTGCATGTCGTTGTCTTGTGTTTTGAATAAAATATTTGTGTCATGCTGTGAGTGTTGTAAGAAATTATTATGCATGTATCACTTTTCTCTTATACATTCCAACCTGTTTTCAAGGTGCTACCTAGTTTAGGTATCTTGACATGTTCACTTATTAGCAAATGTTTTGTTCCTAATATCTGCATTTCAATCTTACTGATTTCTGCCCATTTGCAGGTAGCATAATGAGCAGCATTGAAGAGTCGTCGTACAGCGACACTTCCAGTGAGGGACCGAGCAGTGTGACCTTGGCGAAGGCAGCAGTCGTCCTTTTGAGGTTGAAAGGTATTGTGTCACAGCAAATGCCCGAGGTAAATCCTCCTTGTCCCATTCTTAAGCTATCTAGAGCCCAATGGATGCAGCTTACCCTTGCTGACCAAACCAAATGTATAGACAATTTGCGCATGACGCGTGATGCCTTCATGCATTTGCATGACACCCTGCTGCCGTTTGGCCTGCCATCAACAGATAAGTGCACCCCGGTAGAAGCTCTAGGCATGTACATCTGGACCTGTGCACACCAATTGGCAAGTAGAGAGTGCAAAGATAGGTTTGAAAGGTCTTTAGATACAGTTAGCAGAAAGATTACAGTAGTTGCAGAGGTCATGTATAGGTGGGCAAATACTGTCCTAGTACCAGCAGATAGGAACTACGCACGCGTAAGCCACAAACTTGCTGCATATGCACCATGGTTTGATGGATGCATCGGTGCTATAGATGGCACACACATAAAGATTGAGGTTAACCGTGAATCAAAGGTTGATTTCTTCAATAGGAAAGGCGAAACAACAATTAATGTTTGTGCCATCGTGGATATGGATGGCCGTTTCACATACGTGGGGGCCAAGAAGGCGGGGGCATGTCATGACATGGTGGTGTTGAAAGACTGTCAGGGCGACGCTTCGTTCCCACATCCCCCAGCAGGTTCGTGATGCCTTGATGTTCACATTCCTTAATTGTTTGCTTGTAGTAGATGTATTGAAGCATACTTCTGGTACTACATGAAAGCATGTGTACCACTGTAGTAGATGTATTGAAGCATATCATTTAAAAGATCCACTGTATAGATCCACTGAAGCTTCCAGAAGATCAATTCTAGATGTGTGCTCAAGAGATCATCTGCATTTAAAAGATCAATTCTAGATGTATGCACTTTTATAGATAGAAAACTTAGTGACTTATTAAAGCCAGCTGCTAGTATATGCATGTGTTCTTTGTTAGTATAGTTTGCTCCAGTGTTTAGAAATACTATGGAGTGCTGTAACTTAACCTAAGGGGCGAAAGCTGCTGCCAGTTTCTTTACATGTAGTTACAGAAGTCTTGCCTTGTTTCTTTATCTTTATTATCTGTATCTGCGAGTCTGCATAGGTTATTTGTTTGGAGTTCAATGGATTAAGTTGTACTTAGAGCTAGATTGGTCTTTTTATACAGTGGTTCACATGCTTTCACGTGAAGCTTTGACGCTTGTAGTAGATGTATTGAAGCATACTTCTGTAACTGTTCTCATCTCTTGTAGGCCGGTACTACCTAGCGGACGCGGGTTACACGGAGATGCCAGGTTACATGACCCCCTACAGAAACACAAGGTATCATATCAACGATTTTAGGGGAGTAGATTTGCAGCAGTTGCAGAGGGAGGAGAAATTCAACTACATTCATGCGAAGTTGCGAAATGTCATTGAAAGGAGGTTTGGGGTGTTGAAAGAACGTTGGCAGATTCTGGAGGGGGTGCCGTACTGCAAGAGGATGAAGCAGGCTATGATAATCATTTCATGCTTTGCTTTAGATAATTATTTGTGGATGCGTAAGTACAGCGCTGATCTACCTTCGTATGAGCTGCCGGAGTGGGTTGAGCTAAATCGGGGAACCCCAATCTCTGGAGTTAGGGAGTTAATATCTATGGTTGTGTGGAGTGGTGTATGATTTAGGAAAGTTGAGGTGATGCAGCTGGTCCTCTATTGCTGTGCCGTAACTTACCTGCTTTTGTTCTAATAATATGGCATCTTTCTCTAAGGTGTTCAATTCTATGTCAGGGATTGTGTATTGCATGGATTACTTGGAGAAGAATATTGACTGGCTTGAAGAAAAACTGAAGCCTCTTATTGAAGGTGAGTAAAAGAATACCTCTCTGAAGTTTCGAAAGGGTTTAGTTTGGTTAACTGCAGCTCATAGGAGCTGGAGGGACCACATTCAGATGATCCGACATTCACTGCAGTTCCTATATTCGTAGCAAGTATTGATGCCATGAGAATATTTGTATGTGGTTTGGGTCAAGGCTGTTGTTTTTTTAAACTAGTAGCTTTTGGTACAGTTCCATGGCAGTCTTGTCTTGTGCATGTGTAAGATTTTGTGGGACTAAGTTTGTTTAAAAAAATGTTTTATGGGACTATCATATTGTGTTCATTGGTGTATGGGGAATTTTAGTGTCAGAATTACAAGTGCCAAGTTCTATAGTGTTTGGTGATGTGATGAAATACTCTGGAAAAGAATGATGAAATTGAGCATTAGTAAAGCTGTCTGTTTTGATTTATGTTGGTTCATTTGTCTACGGACAATGGACAAGTTGCTACACTGTTTCTGTGATTCACCATGGGAAGCAGTGGAGAAGATACACCGTCTAAGACAAGCAAGGCATCTGCCCCTCAGGTTCTTGATGCTGGGCCTGTGGCATTATATTTTAAGCGAAAAAAGATTACTTGCTAAAAATTTGTCCTTCCCTGTAACAGGAGCAGCAGCCACCTGCTACCTCAGGTGCTGCAACACTGGCTGTTTATTCTGATTGGTCCAGCTTCCAGGTGAGAGTGATTCCCCTCCTCCCCTCCAACCCAGCTAACCCATCCAAACTCTAGGATTAAATAAATATGTATGTAGCAGTTGCAACTTTCGTTTCCATAATTACTAAATCTGTAATCCCCAATGTTTTCAAGGCGTCGCTTAATTGACGCTCAGGCGTCGCTAAATGTGAATGAACTAGATTGTTTAATGTTTTTTTCTGTATTCTGCAGCTGACTGCTGTGCACCTTATCGATGCCCATTTATGCTGTGATCCTGGAAAGTATGTGAGTGCTTTGCTTCTTTCACTGTGAACAATGCTACACTTGGAATTGCCACATATCAATGTCTTGTCAAAGATTGACGTAATTGAGAACTATGGAAATTTAGGTATTTTGCCTTCGATCTTCCTGATGTTCCTCATATCAAGTCATTCGCGGAGCTGAAGGAAGAAGGATCCCAGCGTCGGCATGTAGACCTGTGATTCTGTGAAGCTGGGCTGGGATGTGCCTGTGATTCGTGTGGAAATTTGTATAAATGTTAGCTGGGCACTCTATGAGCCTGTTGCTATTGAACCTTGTGATGTTGCTGTTAGATGAACCTGTTGCTGTTGCTGTTGTTGTTGGATGAACCTGAAGCTGGGCTGGGATGTGCTTGTGATTCGTGTGAAATTGGACGAGTTGAACCTGTTGCTGTTGGGTTTTAATTTTAATTTGAAATCAGCATGAGCTAGAAATGACGAGTAGTTTGAATTTGAAACTTTGAATTCGGCATGAATTACAATTGGCTTGGCGCTATTATTTGAACTTTTCAAAACCAGCTGCTGGCTGGAGGGCTGGTTTGGCTGGAGCCTGGAATTGGCTGGCTGGCCCTGCCGAACAGGCTGAAAGAAAAGGGTGAACAAATGTTCCTGGCGTCATGGATTACGTGTGCTCAGAAGACCGTCGTCATGCATGACTTCTCACATGGGAAATGACTCTGGCGCACCGGCTGATGTGCGTCCCGTCTATAAAACTGTACGAGGAGGACACCAGACCATCAGCAGCAAGCTAAAGCGTTCCACTACAGAAACGAGCCATCTCTTTTATTCTTTCGCAGGCAGAGGAAATGGCCGGCAGCGGGGAGGAGGCCGCGGCGGCGGCGGCGGTGCAGAACAAGAAGGTGGTGCTGAGAAGGCACGTCACCGGGTTCCCCACCGAAGACGACATGGAGATCACGGTGGGCACTACCGAGCAGCGTGTGCCGGCGGGCCTGACCGCTGTGCTGATCAAGAACCTCTACCTGCCCTGCGACCCCTGGATGCGTCTCCGCATGAGCAAGCACGACGACGGCGCCAACGTGCCGGCCTCGGACTTTGTGATCGGAGAGGTACGCGTCCAAATTTGCTCCACCGGCCACCGCCGATTAGTCTCTTGTTAAGCGCCATTTGGAGCTTTAGAAATTAGAATCATAGGTGAAGAAATCTGCATGTGATTCATGAATCAGGCCATGGTCAATTACGGTGTGGGCAAGGTGATCGACTCGACGCACCCAGAGTTCATCGCCGGCGACCTCGTATGGGGGATGAGTGGATGGGAAGAGTACACCCTCGTCACCCAGCCGGAGTCCCTTCACAAGATCAACCACGCCGACCTGCCGCTCTCCTACTACACGGGCGTTCTTGGTCAGCAACCTGCATTTTGTCTTGTTCCTCCATTCTCCTTTCAACATCTACTAGTAACTGACTGACGATGCGATTCTGGAACCACCACTGCGACGTTGCAGGCATGCCGGGGCTGACTGCGTACGCTGGGTTTACCCAGGTCGCCAGGCCAAACAAAGGCGACTTCGTGTTCGTCTCAGCAGCGTCGGGCGCCGTCGGGCAGGTCGTCGGGCAGCTTGCCAAGATCGCCGGCTGCTACGTGGTCGGCAGCGCCGGCTCCGACGAGAAGGTGAGCCTCCTCAAGACCAAGTTCGGCTACGACGACGCCTTCAACTACAAGTCCGAGACCGACCTCAGCGCCGCGCTCAAGCGCTGCCTCCCCAACGGCATCGACATCTACTTCGACAACGTGGGCGGCACGACACTCGACGCCGCGCTGCTGCACATGCGCCACGGCGGCAGGGTCGCCGTCTGCGGGATGATCTCGCAGTACAACCTGGAGGAGCGGGACGGCCTGCGCAACCTGTTCTGCATCATCCCGAAGTCCATCCGGGTGGAGGGGTTCAACGTCAGTCGCTTCTTCCATCTGTACGCGAGGTTCGAGGAGGAGATGGCTGGGTACATCAAGGACGGGAAGGTGGCCGTCGTGGAGGACGTCGTCGAGGGCATTGAAAGCGCACCGGCAGCTCTGATCGGGTTGTTCTCTGGCAAAAATGTAGGGAAGCAGTTGGTTGCTATTGCAAGGGCATGAGTTGAAGCAGGAACTACATCGTAGTGACGAGACGAGCAAAACAAGTTTTGTGCTACTTGTGTGATGACAGCGCGGACCGGCGGTAATAGAGCTGCTCTGTACCGATCCTTTTTATACGTAATAAGAGAATAATATCAATGTTGTGTATTGTGTTGGGAGAAAAAAAAACATATTTATAATTTGCATTTCATCAGCATATTCACATCTGAATGAATGCCAGTGTAGTTTTATTTGAAGTTGATTTCAGTCATGATAGATCAACGAAGCAGTCGATTCACACTGATGTTATTCCGTTGTATTACTAACGTGGTTATTATGGAAGCAAGCCAAATGGTCCGCTTTCAAAAACTAGATGGTCAAGTGCGGATTTCATGAGTTACTGTGATTGCATAGCGGATTTCACATTTCCCGTCAGTACGCTTTCAGGTGAAGCCTTGGGGCAGAGATCATTTCCTCCATCCACTCCAAATTCAAGTGCTGCAATGACGAACAGTGGGATCAACTATACTCTTCAACTATACCTCTGGTTCTTCTGGCATATTTGATAGAGACCCGTTCTTTTTATGTATGCAAATTCCATGATTGCGTAGCAGTTATGGATATTTCCCCAATCTTCCTTGCTTATGAAACATCTTTGTAGATTGGAAGAGTTCCACTAGGACAGCAAATCAGCTACTTCGAAAAGACCAGAGCTCAGATACTGGAGAACATGGAGGAGGAAGCAGCAAGTGATTTCTTCAAGACGGCGCTCTTCATTGTAGCTGCAGGATCCAATGACATTTTGGATTATCTTTCACCTTCAGTACGGTTCTTTAGTACCGTTCTTTGGACGAGAGAAGCCTTATCCTTCGTACTTTCTGGACGTGTTGGTTTCCAATCTGACATTTTATCAGAAGTTTCTGCCAATTTATCCCTACTGTAGTTTTGTGTCGCTTGCTCTTGTTTGCTGCTGACCTCTATTTTCTTTCCCTCGATTAAGAGGCTAAATGAATTGGGTGCTCGAAAGTTTGTTGTGTCCGACATCGGGCCACTCGGTTGTATACCGTACGTCCGTGCTCTGGAGTTCATGCCAACAGGGGAGTGTTCAGCATCCGCGAATCGAGTCACTGAAGGTTACAACAAGAAATTGAAGAGGATGGTCGAAAAGATGAACCAGGAGATGGGTCCAGAGAGCAAATTTGTGTACGTAAATACGAAGGAGTTTGGCAGCGCCGAAGCAGAGGAAGGAACCCGAAGCAATGGAAAGAACGACGACCTAGGAGGTAGTAGTAGTACGAAGCCGGAAGGTGGTTTGATTCAGAAGTTGAGTGAGGAGGCTTCGACCATCGCCACAAAGATTCTTATGAGGCATGCTTCTGATGGGCTGCCACGCGGGAGGTACCGGAAGACTTTTCAAAGGGCTAAGTATAGGCACCGGGAAAGAGTGGGGGTTGAAGTGGAGTTGCCACGACGATTTCTGGTAAGTCGATTTCGGAGGAACTGAGAGGGAGAAGGCCGGGCTTCCCAGATTGTGCAAATTAGCCATTCTGCTTCGGGGCCGTGTGCACATAGCATGGAGGTGATGCCTTATGCCGTGGCGTCAATTCTAGCTTCTGATGCGGGAGCTTCTAGCTGTTCGCTTTTAAATTGGCACTTAGAGGGCGGAGCATGAATTAAGTAAAGGCTTATTTGTCAAATAATATCTAGTCATGAATGTTTCATTTTTATTAACCAAAACCAACATTTCTCATACTTGCAACTAAGACCTCAAATGTTTGGAAAAGACGATGTCGACAAAGCGGAGTTTTTTAATGAAATAAAAGACATTTGCAAGTGCTGGCTTACACCCGGGGAATTGTCAGTAAATAAGGCGCCAGGAGGTTGTGCAAGCACTAGAAATGACGAGCATGGAGAGGTCAATCTTGGTAGTCAGGTCTGGTAGAGCAATCTAAAATTATCATATAGAAATGTTATGATTTCGGTATTGATCAAAAGGTGCTGGGACCTTAGGGGATACATTAGTGCCATGTTCCTAGCTCCCATAAGAGCTCTACCTAATCGTCGACATAATGGGTAGAAGGCAGGCTGTGCTTATTTCTCGACAAATAGCTAAGTCGACACCTCGAGGTAGCAACTCAACTCTTCGTAGATGAAAACAAGTGTTCAGTGGATCAAACCCTGTATTAATGGTTCTGGCAGGCTGCTGGCGTGGGACTGTAAATCCTCTTTCGCTAGAAACACTACAACAATAGAACACTACTACACAAACTTTAACCGCGGCGGGCGTTTTCGGTTTTCCGCTGCGGGCAAAGCCGTCCTCCGTGGCCTAGAGGCCACGGTAAATCGTGGCTTAACCGCGGCGGGCGGCCTTGCCCGCCGCGGTTAATGTTTTTAAAAAAAAAAAAAAAACCTAGGAGCCCGCCAACGAGCCCATCCTCAGCCCACCGACGAGCCCGTTTCCAACCCAATAGTCCGAAACCCTACCGAAACCCTAGCACCACCGGGATCCGATGCGAGCTCGCCTTGAGCTCCACCTTGCCGGATCCGCCGTCGACAGGCCCACCAGCCGCCGGGAGAGGGGCGCCAGATGTGGATTCACGTCGTGGAGCCACCGGTGGCCGGATCGACGCCGTGGAGCCGCTGGTGGCCGGATCGACGCCATGGAGCCGCCGGGTCCGGATCCACCCTCGCCGGGGCCGGATACGCCCTCGCCGGGGCAGATCCGCCGCCGTGGCCGTCGTAGGAGGTGGATCGAGACGACGCCGTGCCGCTGTAGCCTGGTGGAGGACAGGCCGCCGCGATAACCTCCGCCCGCACGAGCCGCCTCAATGCGCCGTCCTCCCTCCACTCGAGCCGCGCCACAGCGCCGCCCTCCACCCGCGCGAGTAGCGCCACCACGCCACCCTCCCTCCGCGCGAGCCGCGCCATGGCACCGCCCTTTGCCCGCGCGAGCAGCGCCACCGCGCCGCCCTCCGCCCGCGCGAGCCGCGCCACCATGGCCGAGAAGAGTGCCACCGCCGCCGGGAGAGATAGAGGATGGGGAGTGTAGGGGTGGGGGTCAAGGGAGAGCAGCGCGTGGGAAGGGAGTGCGGCTGCGTCTGAGAAGAGTGAGAGGGAGGGCGAGGGGGTGAGAGGAGTGAAAGGGAACCCTAAGTGCTGGCTTATATATGAAGACAACTATCGGGCCGGCGCTGGGCCATTTGGGCCTTGCCTTTTTCTGTGGCGGGCCTTTTAGTGTGCCCGCCACGGTAAATCGATTTACCGTGGCGGACGCGTTAAGATGTCCGCTGCGGTAAATGGGGATTTACTACAGCGGGCAAATAAGGTTGCCCGCTGCAGTAAATCGATTTACCGTGGCGGACGCGTTAAGATGTCCGCTGCGGTAAATGGGGATTTACCGCAGCGGGCAAATAAGGTTGCCCGCTGCAGTAAATCATTTACCGCAGCGGGCGTCTCAGTGGCCGTCGGCCACCGAATTACCGTGGCGGGCAAAAACAGTGCCCACCACGGAGGCCAATTATGCAACGCTGCGCAAGTTCATTTCTATGGTAGAGAAGCACCCTTCTAGAGATAAGAATAGCAAATGTTTTGAGGCACTGATGGAAGCATGCCAAAATTGAAGTTGACGATCTCTTTATCGTTTATCCTTCTCTTTATCTTGCCCTATGTGCTCATGTTGTGAGTGCCGCAGGATGATTTAGTTCTGATCGAGGGCTTGACCCCTTGAGGAGGGCATATTCTCCAGCATCTCTCTTGTCGGATCGTATCCCCATGACCACGTCGTTAAAGAGACCGTCTTTCTTTGGTTTGGCCCACCAATTTACCGTCGTTGGTGACACTCTTCTGAGCCCCTAGATTCGCCGAAGGATGAGATCTTGCCTATGCTGTAGTGTAAGATGAACAGGAAAGTTCTCCTCCATTGAGACCCAACCGCCGTGGAAAACTACTACTTTTTCTTATTGAAAAAAGAGCTTTGTTATCTTACTTGCTGGCTAGTAAACGCTACCCCTACCCTTGAAAACTTGTTTACTTTTGAGGGCCGGAGTTTACTTAAATTCAAGAGGGACTTAAAGGATTTCTAACTTCACTGTCCTGCATACTCATTGGATGAATTGACAGAGTCTCTTGCCCTTTACCTTGGATATACACAAGATTGCTCATTCGCTGTAACCACTAGTTCTAGAACTGAATAGAAAAAGCTATATGGCACTCAAACAGAATGGATAGCAACTGAAACTCCAAGAGGTAGTATACTAATATACTTTTTTTTCCTAAAAACAGGCTTTCCTAAGATGCCTATTGGTCTAAGCTTTATATCTATCCTATCGCTCTCTTGCTTAAATTCACTTCCTTCCTTAACTCAGATCTAAATGGATTCCTTTGGATCGACATTAACTTAGGCGTAGAAAGAGGTAAAAGCGCGGGCATGGAAAAGGGATTATATGGCATGCTGGGCTGGATGAAAGAAGCAACTACGCCTATGTTGGAGCCATTCCATTTGAATTGGCACTTTCTCCATCATGACTCATGGGAAGAGACATTGGCAATAATTCACCTTGGACAATTTATTTGTGAAAATTTATGTCTATTTAAATCACCCATAAAAAATATGGTCAAATTTTCATTGTTAATATGGACTCCTTTGTTCTAAGAGCAGCTAAGCCTTATTTGGCCACTATAGGAGCAATTGTTCATGGTCATCATGGAAAAATCCTTTACAAAGGAGATAGGTTAGTTACGTTTATATATGAAAAATCGAGATCCCGTGATATAACGCAAGGTCTTCCAAAAGTAGAACAAATCTTCGAAGCGCGTTCAATTGATTCACTATCGCCGAATCTCGAAAGGAGAATTGAGGATTGGAATGAACGTATACCAAGAATTCTTGGGGTTCCCTGGGGATTCTTGATTGGAGCTGAGCTAACCATAGCCCAAAGTCGTATCTCTTTGGTTAATAAGATCCAAAAGGTTTATCGATCCCAAGGGGTACAGATCCATAATAGACATATAGAGATTATTATACGCCAAGTAACATCAAAAGTAAGGGTTTCCGAAGATGGAATGTCTATTGTTTTTTTACCTGGGGAATTAATAGGACTATTGCGAGCGGAACGAGCAGGGCGGGCTTTAGATGAATCGATCTATTATCGGGCAATCTTATTGGGAATAACAAGGGCTTCCCTGAATACCCAAGGTTTCCTTTTCCCTGAGTGTCGGGTTCATAAACCCAGGGTCCCTAATGGGCCCGCTTCCCAGCAAAAGCTTGGCCCAGCAGATGGCATTACAAATGACACGCAACTCCTAGGCTGGCCCAGATACCTAACGACATGATAGAAGAGCGATCCAGTCTCCGACCAGAAGGCCTGGCCAAGGAGGGGATGACTCTCGCCTTCGACTCCGACCTGTTTTTCTGACCGGAAGGCCTGGCCAACAAGGGGACGATGCTCGCTTCCGACTCTGACCCACTTCTCCGACCGAAAGGCCTGGCCAAGGAGGGGATGAGCGACTCTGACCCGCTTCTCCGACCGGGAATACACCGAACCTCTGCTTACTGCTCTTCTCTGACCGGTGCGGTCGGAGCCAACTGGGAACAACCAGTTGGGGACGCCCGCTTGGTGAGGACCCAAGAAATCAAGTGAAGCAGATAAGGTAAGGCTCTCAAGTCAACCGCAATACCGAGGACCGTACCCTGCACACCTGTAGGACAGTACTGTCAGGCCATGCCAGAAGGGGGCGCCGACATTTGCCATACCAGAAGAACACGATGGAGCCTGCCACATGCATCTGGGCGTCAACAGTATTGTGGGCGCTGACAAATTGTCTTGTATCCGACGGCGTGGGCAACAAGACTAGAAAACACATACTCTCTCTCTCCTAACTTGTAAGACCGTCCCCTTTACCTATAAAAGGGGATGCGCTCTCTCCTAAAAGGACGATGATTCCGACTCTCTTTCTCTACCCAGCTTTAGACATTCTAAGCACTTGAACAGCTCCACAGCTCTAGAATTCTAAAGCTACATAGAGCATACGTTCCAAAACTTAGCGCACATAGGAGCTCCTGTCACTATTGGCCCTTCGGTCCAGAGCCCGACCGGACCTCTAACACCCCCTTCTCATTCCAACTCGTTTGTAACCCCACAACAAACTTTGAGCACCTAGGCTCAGGAATAAAGTCACCGACCAACTCAAACTAGACGTAGGGCACGTTGCCTGAACCAGTAAAAACCCTGTGTCATTGAGTGCTAGGCCACATCCTATCACAACATACGGCAAAACAACAAATATCTACTTGTTGGTCACTTTTCGCACCGACAGTTGGCGCCATCCGTGGGGAACACGTCGTACGTTCATGCTTTTGGTCATCGGATGGCCCACCTTTCCGCCATCTTCGGCATGGCGAGCTCAAGCGATATGACTCATTTCGGCTCGCTGAAGTTTCACATGCTCCCACCTATTGGGATGTAGGTTCCTCCCGTCTTCAAGCCATCCTAGACCTTCCTCTTC